GCCAAGTTGCCCAGGCTGGTCTCGAACCCGCGGGCTCAGGCAATCCACTCATCTCGGCCTCCCAAAGTGCTGGGATTACAGGCTGAGCCATCGAGCCCGGTTAAGTTTACTGGTTTCTTATAAAGGATATTACAGCCGGTCATGGTGGCTCATGCCTGTAATCCCAGCATTTTGGGAGGCCTAGACAGGAGGATCTCTTGAGTCCAGGAGTTCAAGACCAGCTTAGCCAACATAGCAAGACCTCATCTGTACAAAAAATACATACAAAAAAATCAGCTGGGCATGGTGTTACGGGCCTATAGTCCCAGCTACTCAGGAGGCTGAGGCAAGAGGATTTCCTGAGCTCAGGAGTAAGAGGCTGTAGTGAGCTGAGTGCACCATTGCATTCCAGCCTAAGCAACATAGCAAGACCTTGTCTTTACAAAAAAAGATTGAAAAAAAATTAAAGGATATTACAAAGGATACAGATGAAGAGATTCATAGGACAAGGTATAGGGAAAAGAGCACGAACGCGCCATGCCCTCCCAGTGTGCACCCCCTCCAGGAACCCTCACAATGTTCAGCTCTCTGGAGCTCTTTGAACCCTGTCCTTCTGGGGTTTTATGGAGGCATCATTATATAAACATGATTGACAACCATGTACAAATGTGACTGGACATAAAGTGCATGCTCTAAATCTAGCAAGACCTGTCAGCTCAGACTTTGCTTGGCCACACTGTGCAGCATTCCTGCCTACAGTGTATGGGATAGGACTCTCTCTGGAATGAGGGTCTTTTGACCCACAATCAGATTAAAGGCCTGCCTTGGACAGGTGAAGGGACAGGAGAAGATCAGAGAGAGAAATTCTGTTTTCTGAGGCCTACAGTGCCCCAACATTATAACAAGGACTATAGGAGCAAGGAGTCAGGAACTGTGGACGAAAACCACATACATATAACACCACACCTTCCTTCCTTCTTTCCTTCCTTTCCTTTCTCTTCTTCCTTCTTCCTCTCTCTCTCTCTCTCTCTCTCTCTCTCTCTCTCTCTCTCTCACACACACATACACACACTCACACTCATACACTCACATCATTCTCTTTCATTCACACCACCACCACCACCCACTTCTGCATTTCTGGTCAACCCTACCCAGAGCACACTTTCAGTGAAAAGTGCTGGCAGACTGACAAACATATTATTTTCTTTGGTCCACCCAACTGTCATTTGAGATAGACAAGGTAAGTTTTACTATCTCCATTTTCAGCCAGATGGCACACAGATTTAATAAATGAACTGATTCATGTCATCCAGAAATGATAAGGTAGTGAAGTTGAGACTTAAAACTTGTTTTCTCTATCTAGCTCGGTGCTTATCCATGAAACACAGCTTACCAAACAAACATTTTTCTCAAGTTTCTTCCAAGGCTGATGTGGTCATTCCTCTTCTCCCATTGTCCCAATTAAAAGGTATTTAAAGTGTAACAGTGACGTTCCCAACGAGATATTTTGAGAATAACTGAGCCAGCATTTGCCTCTGACTCTTAAGACTATCTTCTGACCTACTGAGCTCTTTTGATACCTGAGCATGTATTTCCCACCGCAGTAGATCTGTGAGTGTTGCTGTGGGCTGCTTCCCATCTGTGAAGTGTGGGACCAACCTGAGTGGCCAGAGGCCAGAGGAAAGTGAGAGAATCAAAGCCCTTCCATGTTCATCTAAGTTTCCCAAATATTTATAGATGTGGTATTTTGCAGTGAGGGATTCTACAGCAAGAGACAGCCATGACTGCCAAGATGATAAGGCACAACTCAGCTGTCCTGTGGGAGGAACACCCACAGAAGGACCCACTTGTGTTGGCTTCTAGTTTGAGTAAAAATCCAAGGTACTTCTCTGGCTGGAACCTGGAAATGTCAAAGCTAGTGGCACAGTTTCCTTCAGGAATAAAAAAAAGAAGAAGCCTCTGGGAAAACTGATGGTATTTGAGGAAGATAAGAAGTCATGACGTTCCTTTTTGTTCTTGTTGTTGAGTCAGAGTCTCACTCTGTCACCCAAGCTGGAGTGCAGTGGAATGCTCACGGCTATGAAGTCTCAACCTGCTGGGCTCATGCCATCCTTCTGCCTCAGCCTCCCAAGTAGCTGGGGCCCCAGGCACACACCACTATACCTGACTTTTTATTTCTTGTAGAGACGCGGTCTCACTAAGTTGCCCAGGCTGGTCTTGAACCCCTGGACTCAGGCAATCCTCTCACTTCTACTTCTCAAAATGTTGAGATTATAGATGTGAGCTACTGTGCCCAGCTGAGGATTTTGGAAAGCAGAGTCTATTAGTATATCAGAGATACAGCAGAAAAGAGATGAAATATTTAAATTAGTAAAACTCAAGAGATATTTAATAAAGAAAGTATTTGCAAAGGAGGAGGCAAAGTGTGGGAACCCACAGGGAATAGTGCAATAACCCAGGAACAGTAGCAGTTAGAGCTGATATTGTTCTAGATCTCAGAGACAAGGGGCAAGAATGATTACCAGAACCCAGAAAGAGAGTTTCAGGAAGACAGGGCTACCTTGAGAGGAATAGTGACCTAAGATGAGGGATACAGCCAGTCTGGGGCATTCCCACAGAGCAGGAGCCAAGTGAGAGTCTGGCTTTTCTTCCCTCTGCTTCCTGCCCTTTTATCTCCCACCAGAGGTCCTCATTGGTGAAAACCTAGTGGAAGCCAATTGTGGTGGCTCATGCCTGTAATCTTAGCACTTTGGGAGGCTGAGGCAGGAGGATGGATTGAGCCCAGGACTTCGAGACCAGCTTGAGCAACATAGTGAGACTTCGTCTCTACAAAAATTAGCTGGGCATGATGGCACATGCCTGCAGTCTCACTGCTCAGGAGACTGAGGTGGGTGGATCACCTGTGCCTAGAAGGTCAAGGCTGCTGTGACCTGTGATCGTGCCCCTGCCCTCCAGCCTGGGTGACAGAGTGAGTCCTCTGACTCAAAAAAAAAAAAAGAAAAGAAAAGAAAAGAAAATCCTAGTGGAAGCCAGAGGATAAGGGAGACTTCAGAACAGAAAGCAAGATGGAGAATGAGAGTGAAGTTGAAGAAGTAAACAGAAGCTATCCAGCATAGTTGACTTAACTGGAGAATGGAAGAACCTCAGTCTCTGCAGACTGTGCTGAGATATGAATGCACAGTTAACTGCTTTTCCAGTACACTGGTGGATCTAAGAGCTATGCGAGAGTTCTTTTGGAACAAAGGCTATCAAAAAGTCAGTCCAGGATTGGGTCACCCTTTGTAGAAGTCCAAGCTGCTAGTTCTCAGCCAGCAGGGAATACTTGCCAATGTCTGGAGACGTTTTGGTCGTCACAAGTGGGGTGCTACTGTCATCTAATGGGTAGAGGCCAAGGATACTGCCATGTCCTAACATGCACAAAGTGCCCCTACCCTCCATCCCAAGGGATCACCTCCCACCCCCCCCAAATATCATCTCACTTCCTATTTTTTTTCCCCCAGAGTCTCACTGTATTGCGCAGGCTGGAGTGCAGTGGCACAATCAATTCATTGCAGCCTTGACCTCCTGGGCTCTTCTGTCTCAGCCTCTCGAGTAGCTGGAACTACAGGTGTGTGCCACCACACCTGGTTGATTTTTTATTATTTTTTTTTGTAGAGACAAGGTCTCACTATGTTGCCTAGGCTGGTCTCAAACCCCTAGGTTCAAGCAGTCCTTCTGCCTGAGCCTCCCAAAGTGCTGAGATTATAGGTGTGAGCCACTGTACCAGGCCTCTTATTTTTTTCTTGCTACTTTTTTTCTCTCTGAAAATATTTCTGATTTATTTATTTAATTGATTTTGTTGTGTCTGTCTGCAACTACGAGAATAGAACTTCCAGCAGAAGTTTGCTTTGTCTTATTCATCACCGTACCCCTGAGGTACCCCCATAAATATGCCTGATTGAATGAATGAAAAATAAAATTAGCCAGGTGTGGTGGCTCAGCCTGTAATCCCAGCGCTTTGGGAGGCTGAGGCGAGTGGATTGCCTGAGCCCACGGGTTCGAGACCCACCCGGGCAACTTGGCAAGACCTTGTCTCTAAAATAAATAAAAAATTAGCCAGGCATGGTAGCGCATGCCTGTAGTTCCGGCTACTTGGAAGGCTGAAGCAGAAGGATCGCCGGAGCCCAGCAGGTCGAGGCTATGGTAGCCAGGAGCGTGCCACTGCACTCCAGTCTGGGCGATGGAGTGAGACTCCAACTAAAAAAAAAAAAAAAAAAAAAGAAAAAGAAAATTAATTTAT